TTTCTGTGAGCATGTTCACATGAACGAGGTCATGACCAACCTAAACTAAAGACTACAGTCAACACAGCTTCATTTACAAAATGCTGATAGAAGTGTCAGGAAATTAAACCTGATTGTGAAAGCAAAAATTAAGTCTAAGGCTGTAACATCACTGTCCATCTTTAGTCAACCATAGATATGACTAATGTCTCCCGTTTGGTCTCTTAAATTAAATTCTTGATATTTTATTCTCTTTTATATTTTAGCTACAGCTCGATGGTAACAAACGGAGAGGTGTGGAACTAATAAAATTATTATAAAAGCAGTACGCTGAATGATTAGTCCTATGTTAGACTCATAGGTGTTTTTTCAGTCTCTGTTGTGGGAATATAAGCACAAAAAAAAAAATCTTAATTTGTGTATTTGATTCGTAAAATCACGCAGAAAGACGAAGTATTTGCCGGTCTCGGTCCCTCCTCTCCTCTAACGATCAGCTAACAGAGCTAATCAAAAGATCTGATTGAGCGAGTGGGCGTTTCTTTCTACAAACCGATCACTTATCCAGATCATAACCTGCTCCAGGACAGGTTAATGCATAAGTAGTAAGATGTATCCCCAGCGTCCTCTAGGAAACAGAAAAATAGATTGAAAACCAAATATCTTTCAGGTTTCATTTTTAAGTTCCCAAAAGACCAACAATTTTTGGTGTTTTTCTGCAACCCCTTTTTAGAAACCTGGAATGCAGTACAGAATCAAGTGGTTGTATTCATACAAAGACATGTTGTATGCAAACACCATCCTGGCAGCTTTGACGTTGTCACCAGTGTGTTTATTAGGAAAGCAGTTTCATAGAATACTATCATAATTTGTAGGAGACATGGCTGGTTTTATTCATTAAGGTTTGCATAAAATTACAAGGTACTCACATTTATGAGGCTTAATGATTGAAGGGGTAGTTTATGTTTATAAGTACAAAGTTTAAACTAAATTATCCCAACAACAACCGTGATATATTTGTGTACGACGCTTCAAACCGTGATCATCTCCTGAAAAACATTAGCTCTGCTCCCTTTGATTTCTTCATCTTTTTTTTTTCCTCCGTCTCTTTCCCCCATCACCATTTTTCCAGCCCTGACATCCAGACATTTGGTGCTGCCATGTTGCTTACAGCCTCATTTTTCTTCTTCTTCTCTTCTTCTGCTAATATATTCAGTCTTCTTCTTCTTCTCCTGATACATATTCGCTCTTGATTGTGGCTGCCAATTAGGCGGCGCGGCGGTGGCAGTTCATCCATCTGACTTAAAGGTTCCTCGCCGCTAATTCTGACGGTCGGGTCAAGTAGCGGAGGGGCCCATTAATTGGAATAATGAAGTCTTCAGTGAGTGATCATCAATGAATTCAGAGTGCTATTAATCCTTTAAAGAAATCATCTCTTTATTTTTCTGTGTTGAGCTTTATCGTCCAGCCAGCTGCTGCAGCGTCTCATTTATCCACCACTTAATAAACATCATGCATGTATGATTTCTTTCTCTCGGCTTTATTTACTCCCACGTCGTTTACTTCAATCTGTCCTACAACTCTCTATATGTCATGTCGTTATTTCCTCCCCCTTTCTCCTCTCTCTTTCAGCCTTATTTTTTTCTACTCGCCTTTGTTTTCATGCCTTCTCTCGTCTGTCTTTAGCCTTTTTTCAATTTTTCTCTTTAATTCTTCACTCTCTCAATCCTCCCTCTTCAGGATTTTTCTACTTTTAGTGTGTCATAATCCCATTTTTTATCCTCTATACTCTCCACTCACTTGGTCTTTTTCTTAATTCTCTACAAACATCTATCTCACAAACTTTCCCCCGCTTCTTCTATAACAGTTTTATTGTCTCCTAAATGATTTCTAGCTTATCAAACAGAACTTAAAACACTGCTTCCTCGCATCATATCAGAGGATCAGAATGCTTCCCTGGTTTAGTTTGACCAAAGGAACGTGCAAACTTTTGATGAAGTGAAAAACAAACTAATTCATGTTTTATGTCTGTAGAGAAGTGTGAGTGACATTTACAGTCAATGTATAAGTGTGATGAAGGTTCTCATCCTGCAGTAATGGTTTACATTTATTTTAAATGCGGTCAAGTTGTTAGTTATTTTGATTAAGTTAAGAAGTATTTCTGATGGCAAAAGTGTGCATTTTTATGAATTAAAACTTGTACTGCACTTATTTTAAGGTGGAAATAAAATGTTTGATGAGCTAAAAAGGTTTCAACTCATTGCTGGATTTAAAAGTTGTTTTTTGTAGGTGTGACCTGCAGCGTAAAAGGCTCGAGTAGTCAGAAGTCCATTTACTATTTATCATTAAAACGGTCACTGCAAACTTGAGCAGAGGTTTATTTTCTGTCTCCTGTCAGGATGACTCATCGTCTCTGAAACAAATCAATTCATTTTATTCCTGAAGCATCCGTCTATTTCAAACATTATGTCTCTCCATCTCTTTGAAATATTTACTCATTCACCTCCACTATCTGTGTGCGTATCCATCAATCTTTCATCTGTTCATACATCAAAGTGTCCGTGCACTTACAGTCTGTATAATGGTCGTCACACATGACTCACAGTGACAGTGAAGAAGTGAAGACACGTCACAGAGACTCTCTCAGAGTTCACAGAGACTCTACTGGACTTCAGATGTGAACGATGGACTCCATTCAGAAGTCTGACAGCGAGTGGAAGGTCTCAGAGCCTTCACGGCATCGACCCGAGTCAAAGCTGCTCATTTTACTTCTAATCATGTCGTTTATCAAAACGCTGCTGAGCCGCGTCAAACAGTCAAGTTACGCTAACGAGATGTGAACGAGGAGCAGACATCAGTAAGGTTAGAGGAGTACAAAACAGAGTTCACCTTCAGCAGGTAACGTGAAAATATTTGAGAAAATTGACAATGTTTGCATTTACGGGACAAAAATCAAGAAGGTCAAGTAGAACTGCAAAAACTGCTGTGTCTTTTTCTTCGGGATCATGCTGCAAGTCAGAGCAGAAGCTGGAATATCAAACTGGAAAAATAAGTTCAAACATTTCAAGTGAGAGAGAAATATCTTCAAGGAAAGAAACACGAAAGTTTTGGAGAATATTCAGAAAGAAACCAGCTGTTGGAGGTGTTAAACTTGTCCTGATAAAAAAATACATGGAGGTGACCTATAACCTCTAAACAGACTTTCAGTATTTTCCTTTTCTTTGAACAAACTAATTTGATAATTTGAAGATAGCGCTTGCCTTAATAAGACTTTTTTTTTGTTTTAAGACTCCTTTGAGTCTTATAAACATAAATCATCATCTAAAAACTTATTTAAGAGCTCGAAATGAAACACATGATTTTTTCCTGACATACAGACTCAAAGCTACTCCTATAAACAAAATATAGATTGCGTTTATAAAATGTATAATTAACTGTATATTTAAAGGAGCTACTGTCTGGTTTACCTTTGCACAAAACAACACGTGTCACATTTTTCATCTTTTTAACCTGGCAGGTTTGGTTACAATCAATCTTGATATTTAAATGAAAAGCAGTGTGTTCATGAGTCCATAAAAAGGTTTGATCAGTGCCTTTAAGCTTTAATCACAGGTGAGATCGTGATATGTTGCTGATGAGCCTCCAGAAGACTGTGAAGGAAATTTGACTCTTTAAAGGACAAAAATCAAACTGCCCACTTCTCCTGAACTACAGCTCACATGTCAGAGAAGCCATTCACCAGAGTTAAAATAAGTCAAACTGTCCTCCTCCTCTAAGACATCAGCCTCCATCAGCTGGGTTATGAATCTGCATCCTACCATCCAGACGTTACCAACACAACACAGACACGAGTCACTTCACCCTCTTTTGCATCCATCCTCTTCCATGATTATGAGGCGGGCTGCTGCGTCTGATGGAGAGATTAATCTTGCTTTGATAGAAATATGTCACTTTCTGCAGCCTGTGATGGATGTGATTTATCACTCCGGACAAATCTGCGCCCGATTGTCCCTCCTCCTGACAGCTCTATCGTCCCAAAATGTCACCTGTTGTAAGCCCGCTGACCTTCTAATTTTCTAATTCAATTTGGAGAAGCCCTCTCCCCGCGGAGGACCGAAGCCGTATCATGAAGCAGTAATAACAATTACACACCGTGACCAGCTCCCAAACCTGCAATTCAAAGCCCAAGTAGTCTTTTATTAGGCTGCCCGCTTAAATCAATCTAAATCTAAGCATAATAACTCTCTAATCAGGTGCTGGGCAGAATAATAGGTTGTCACGCTCGAGGAAAAATAGGCAATCATGGAATGTTTTCTTTAATTAGGCCGGCTAAAGTAGAAGGGCACGTCGTGAGCGCGGGACACATTCATCATAGCCAAGGTGGGAAATTACTTCAATTACTCAGGAAGGGGAGAGTGAGCAGAATTACACGAGTCACAGACGCAGAAGAGAGGAGAGAAGGAAGTCCTCATGACACCGGGAGGGCAGAGGAGGCAAGGGCACAGGAGGGGAGGACTCAGGAGAGGAAAACATAAATGAGGTCAAAGATGAATGCAAACACCAAAGAAGGGATTAAAGGTCGTGGGGAGACAAAATGTTGTATTTGATTTCTTTGAGTTCATGATTTTTGTATAACTCTAAAAATCTTTTAGAGACATTTCTGACATTTAGTCTGGTGACAAACATGTAGGCCATGATGAAAATAATAATAAAAGCAGGACATTTATCTGGACCATGCACACATTGGATGTTGAGTGTTTGAAATCAAGCTGTTTTCACATGTGAACTTCTGAAAATGTCTAGAGAATTTAAAGAGGACTGCCCTGAACTCCTCCTGATCTGGTTGATCACACAGGCGGGGGGGGGGGTCTCCTGAGGTAATGACGTCAAAAGAACTATATGAACCATCTCATCTATCATAGATTATCATCAACATCTAGCATTGCAAAACACATCCTGCATTTGATATTCATGTTTTAATTCAGTGAGTCGTTTTGTGGATGGACGGACGTCGTTCTACTTACATGTCACTCACAGGATTGATCCTCATGTAAGGAAGACTCCGCCCATCACTTCGGTCCATCAGCTGCCACACCTTCAAAATCCTGTGGACAGAAATGTCCATTAAATGTTTTTAAAGTCAGGCGTAGAGGAATCAAACTGTTTGGATTATTTCATTGTTGGAAGAAATATGCTTCAAAAGTCACAGAATGACAAACCCTGACCTTGCTGTCATAGAAGCGGTCTGAGACACTCAGAGGGGTATTTAATTAAAAGCCTTTCATTCATCAGGGCTACAGATGTCATGTCTCTCTCACTCTGTGGCTCCCTCCTTCATTGCTTTCACCTGCTCAAACCTGCACACCAGCTCTCCATCTCCTCATCAACTCAGCAGTCTATACACCCCGGCTCTCCATCCACTCATCGCCAGATCGCTGTGTCAACTACTGCGGTAGACTACGTCTCAGGCTAATTAAGATTTTGAAAGATTTTTGAAAATAATCTTTGGTGCTAGTTTTGTTTTCGAGTCTCATCCTGTTTTTTCCTTTGCTTCAGGATCACCATTCACCCACCTGCCTTCCTGCTCAGCCATCTGCCTCAACCTGCTCTCTGGACTCAAAACTGCTCAGCCACGCTCACGCCCCTCCTCTGGTCTGGTCAGCCTTCATCCCCTTCACTCTTCTAACCTCCACAATAAACCTCATTACCAATCAACCCCTCTGTTTGTGTGTCCTGCATCTGGGTCCTAAATTCACTGGTCGCAGCAGATTCATAAACACATGCCGACATGTTTCAGTCATATAGGCCTCCATCAGGGCAAGTACCACCCTAACGCTGCTGTGCTGTACAAATGTATGAACTAAATGCTGTATCTTGTATTTACAGTTTCCAACCCTCAAATTCAAAATTCAAGGATGAAAAGATGATCTATTCATACACACATCTTTTCAACACATGTCTGTGTCTACGTGTTGTCTTCTTTCTGAAATACTCAGATAAATATGTTGTTTCGTTTAAAGCGTAGAACTCGTATGTTTTCTGATCTGAAACATTTGGCAGATCCAGGGACAGCAGACAGATATTTGTTTGTGTGTTTTCAAAGTTCAGTGTTTATTTCTGTCCATGCAGACTGAAGAAAAAAGGACTTAAATGTACAAAAACATGGAAGACTTTGTTTTGGAGTTTGTTCAGTTTGGGGTGACAACACAGGAAGAGCAACGTGAGATGTGAGCATACATTTTCAGCTCTTTGCCAAACTTTAACCCTAAACTGTCATCGGGATTCATCTCTGATGACGAGCTCTGAAAGAGGACAGACGGGTCTCCATCAGAAACACACAGAGGTGGTAATCGGGGTCAGGAAGAGATCAACACAAGGACTGCACTGTGTTAACATCCTGCACGATACTCAGAGAGAGGCGACCCGTCTCGATTTAAAGGTGGTTAATGTCCAAACAACCAGAAGTAAAGCGGTGGAGGAGGGATGAAGGATCTATCCTCCCTTCTCCCCTCGCTCCCTGTCCTGCTCCCTCCGTCTCCTCTCTGCTCCACTGACCACACGGCTCCATCATCATCGCGTCTCCATCTCTATTTTTGTTGTAACGGCGATCAATCACTTCAGCTTTCATCTATTTGCTATTGATGAATGACCAATTATTTGTCTTCTAATTCGCTGAATGATGACCCAAAGAGCAAATCAAACTATTTTTTCCCGCCTCTGTTTGATGTGACACGGGACAGCAGTGATTGATTGTGTCCTTAAACTATTATTACATTTATAATGTGGCGCTCAAATCTGACATCTCACTTAGTCTGGGCTCCCCCCCCCCTTAGATAAATAAGATGTTTTATCAGTTAGAGTGGAGGATAATGAAGACACCAGGATTATTCACAGCCTTCACATGAAAAATTTTAAATTAACTGCAGATAAATTCAAGACGGGTAAGGTGTATGGTTTTCTCTTACAGCCTCTCCTAACGGCACCCAACGAGAGTGACAACGACGAAAACAGCTGGACTCTGTTGTTTTCTATAAGAGGGTCCTAACTGCCCGCGAGCAGTTTAAAAGTCATTTTAAAGTCTTTATTTAAAGTTCAATTCAGCCCTAAAAATAAACAAATCATGACTACAAAACACTTGCAGTCCACTTACACACACACACAGCTGTCAAAGATAAGTTAGACCCTCTGGTTAAGCTTACTGTGTTCCTAAACGAGTCCACTGAGGCTGCCTCCAGAACATACGAACCGGGTCTTCAGAACTGCAATGGAAAATGTGCATTCAATAGTTTAATGATGTTTATCCTCTAAAATCGTTCTCTATCTTTGTTGGACTTTAACACATGTATTACTGCCACTAATATTTGATCCTTGTTTGCCATCAGAATGTACTTTCAGGTTATTTCTGAAATTCTACTGCTCATGCTGTACTGCTGCTGCCTATCATCCTGTCAATCAATGACATGTCATGACTTTAACATATTTTGTGTTGATTTAGCGTTCAGTTGCAGAGGAGCTGAAATATCAACCTGGAGGATAATAAACTGCAAAGATGGCAGTCAGAGTCCAATGAAGAGATGAAACACTATATCCAATGAGGAAAATGTTAATCTTGTTTTTATACAACAGTCTTTATTCACACATACTTGATGTCAGGGGTTCCACATCGTTTCATCCCCGCAACCCCTGGAGGTGGTGAAGGTAACTTTGGAAACAGCCGATCCAAACACTGTAACACAGAAGAACACAACAGCATGACAACCATAACATCATTTCATATAGTCAGTTATTGTAGGAAAGTCAGGAAGCAGAATACAAGTAATGTCTATGTATAGACTTTAGCAGTGAGTGGACAATACTTGATAGACACACAGGTGTGGTGTGTTCAGGTGTGTGCATTAAAGTGAAGGAGATATATACACTGCTGCTGCCATGTGTAAAAACTTATATTGATATGGCTTTAATTGAAATTGTGCTTTTGTATACATTTTACAATATTATGCGTTTTCTTTTGTTGTTGTTGGCTTTTTTTTTGGGGGGGGGTCCTTTGGGAACCACTGTTCGAAGCCATTAAACTCAGGGATAAAAACATGTATATTGTGACTGCAGCACGAAGGCCTTTTACTACTTTCAGGACTCATAATGTATAAATTATTATTTTTAAATAAAGTATGAAGTGTATTATGATGTAATATTTATATGGCGTTTGAATTCAGGACTTGAAAAGTACCAAAGTTTAGCGACTCTCACTTTTGTTGCTGCTAAATCGATGACAGTTATCCAAAGTGTAGCATAAGTAGCATTTTCTTTCTACACAAAAAAAAAGTCCTAAAAATCACATTAAAGAAACTCACCATACTCCATATCGTGTCAGGATCGATATGAATGTTCTTATTCGACGATACATCCCGATAAACTTCATAAAATAGCACAGTAAATGAATACAGTAAGTTAATATTTCATGACGCTGCGAATTGTTTGATGTGAACAGGTAGCGCACGTTCCTAAAACGGTGAGTTCACTGACCCGCATAAAAAACAGTGATGGTGACTACTAGGTCACCTAAATTAGCTTGACGTTCAAAAGATTAAAGTGAAATATAAAGGCAAATCGTTTAAATGTATTATGTTTGTGAAGTTCTATGTTAGGACCTGTTATAAATTAAAACTCTCAGCAAGACGTTTTTAGAAACACGTAATGTTTTATGAAATGTACTGATCTCAAATGAGGAAAAAAGGTTTTGAGGAAATACTGTCACCTCGTGGCCAAATTTGATAACAATCAGCTGAAGGATGAAAACATCAGGGCTGTTTCAGTCATTATTTTAAATTTACATATAATCACTGCCATCTGGTGGTCAAATTGCGTACAGCAAAACAACAAAAGACGATAATTAACGTGCTGCAGCCATGCTGCAGCTCAGAAATACATTTATTTAAACATCAATAAAAGCCAAATATGAACAATATTTTTAAAAATGAAAAATAACATCGCGAAAATGTGTTTTTGTTACTATATGCGGAATTAAATACGTAATATTTTATGAAATTATTACTGAAAAAGTCATGCTGCATTAATCACTCAGCTGCTTGTTATATAGAATTTGGCCACGACGTGGCAGTATTTCACCACAACCTTTTCCATATTCTCACGATATTATTTTTCATTATTAAAACATTTTGTTAATATTTGGCTTTAATAAAAGTTAAAACTTTTAAAAAATAGTATCCCTAAAATATGTTTCCTCACTGTATGTGGAATCAATCAATAAAAGCCAAATATGAACAATATTTTTAATAATGAAAAATAACATCGCGAAAATGTGTTTTTGTTACTATATGTGGAATTAAATATGTTAAATAATGTTTTATAAAATGCACAGATCTCAAATGAATAAAAAAAGGTTGTGGTGAAATATTCCCCGAGGTGGCAGTATTTACCAAAACCCTTTTTTTGTTATTTGAGATCGGTACATTTTATAAAATATTACGGATTTAATTTCACATATAGTAACAAAAACATATTCTTGAAAAAACATATTGTTAAAAAATATTGTTGGTAATAGGCAATTATAACAAAAAAGTCATGCTGCATTTAAGCAGTTAAAAAATATTGTTCATATTTGGCTTTTATAAACGTTTATCTGAGCTGCAGCACGTAATTATCATCTTTTGTTGTCTTTCTGTAATTACGCAATTTGACCACCAGATGGCAGTGATTATATGTAAATTTAAAATAATGACTGAAACAGCCCTGTTGCTTTTGTCCTTCAGCTGCTTGTCATATCAAATTTGGCCACGAGGTGGCAGTATTTCCCCAAAACCTTTTTTTCCTCATTTGAGATCAGTACATTTGATAAAACATTACGTATTTAATTCCGCATATAGTAACAAACACATTTTCGCGATGTTATTTTTCATTATTAAAAATATTGTTCATATTTGGCTTTTATTGATGTTTAAATAAATGTATTTCTGAGCTGCAGCACCTTTATGTAATTACATCATGTAGCCACAAAATGGCAGTGATTATATATAAAGTCAAAATATTAACAGAAAACGCCGTGTTGCTTTCATCCTTCAGCTCTCACTGGATGTGGAAATAAATAAGTAATATTTTATGAAATATACCGAGCTCAAACGAGGAAAAAAAGTGTGTGGGGAAATACTGTCACCTCGTGGCCAAATTTGATATGACAAGCAGCTGAAGGATATTTGCTCGCCTTGTACTGTGTGTGACGTTGCGTTTACCTCAGCCAATCAGAGGGCGAATAACAGTCAAACGCGGAAGTTGTCATCGCATGCAGCGCAGTATTCCCGCGAAGATTGAGACCTCGCAGTGGATGATACTGCTTTCTCTGGGTACGTTTCGTTATTTTAACTCTTATATCATACATCAAAGTTAATACTGGTGTGTCTGTGGATGGATATAAGTATGTTTTACTCGTTAAGACAAATCGTGCTGCTTGTTAGTTAGCGTGTCGTTCACTTCAGCGTGCAGAAAAAGTGACAACAAACGACAAATGACTCTCTACCTTCTAGTAGATGTATGTTAATGCACTGTATACTAAAACACTGTGACTGATTATGAATTAATACGAGGGCTGCATGTTTCAGCTCACATGTTGCGATACTCCTTAAAGGAATAGAATCATTTTGAAGTAGTTTTCATGATCTTGGGATGTAATTAAGGACCCTTGAAGTCCTTGCAAAACATGAAATGTCACGTGTCCTGACCAAAGCAGCATGTTTTGCGGTTTAGAGTCTCATCACCATGAGCAAGAGGAAAGTGAAGGATGATCACATGCCAGTAGGAGAATGCATCACACAGGTTTGGCTTGTTTTCTTCCAGTTTGTTTACAGTGACTTAAGTATATGTGTTAATGCTTATTATGTTGCTGTGATGTCATTTTATTTCTACCCAGGTCCAGGAGGTTTTCAGGGAGCGGTTTTGCTGTCAGAAGCTTCCTGAACAGCCGGAGGGAGTGGAATCTCAACACAAGTAGGTTTATCTCATCGCTGGTAGCCTTCACTTTTGTATAGCATTTAATCGGCCTAAATATTTGGGTAAAAAAATAACAATGAAAGATGAACATAATATTGAAACATTGAAATAGACACTGTAGAATGAGCTGTCATCTGGAGTAAAGAGACAATCTGGGGCTAAATATAAGTTATAGTGACCTAGTTTGGTCTTACCTGGCAGACAGCTCTGTCCCAGTTTGAGCCTGGAAATTCCCCCAGTTCCCAGCTGACTTGAACACAACACGAGCATCCCAGGTGTTGATCTCTTGGAGCAGGTTGTGAAATCCACATCTGACACTAGTTTTAACTCACTAGCTGGAGCTGTAAATCTCCCTTTTTGACATAGAACTCATTATTTTACACATCTTGAGGTGCATTGTGGGTTTTGTAGTCAACATGCTGTCTTTTCAGGCACCTTCTGGAGCTGCTGAAGCGGACTGCTGTCCACGGGGAGAGTAACTCGGTGCTAATTGTCGGGCCCAGGGGAGCAGGAAAAACAATGGTGAGTCTCCACAGCCAGAGCACACGCTGGAAATGTCCTTAAGGCTTAAAAAGAATGACATAGAAGATGATGAATTGTGTTGGAGTGTTTTTCAATCCTGGGAGGCTTGACTTGTTGGATGGTGTTTGTGTTTTTGTGTGTGTGTGTGTGTGTGTGTGCAGCTCCTGAAGTGTGTGTTGAGAGACCTCCTGGAGGAAAAAGAAGTGGAGAAAAACCTGCTGCAAGTTCATCTCAACGGTACTGTTCCCCCACCAAACGTCATGTTATTTATGCATCATTTAATGACCTCAATAAATGAAGGAAAGAGTGCAAAAAACATCAACAAAAAACTGGTTCATCAGGTTCATCTCATTGGTACGGATTCCCAACCAAACCTTATTTAATTTTGACGTGATTTTATAATGCGTAAAGGACATTTTTGTCAAAAAAATAAATGGAAAAATCTGTCTCGTATGAAGACCGTATGTCATTTTTGCATCATTTTAAAGATCTAAATGTGTAAAGGGAAACAATGTGCAAAACGTCTTTAGTTTGATCTCAATGGCACTGATTCCTAAACAAACCTTATGTTCCTTTTTCATAATTGAAGGGCCTAAACACTGGATCTTACTTGTATGATTTTTGCTCGTAGGCCTCCTGCAGACTGATGACAGAATAGCGCTGAAAGAAATAACACGGCAACTCAACTTGGAAAATGTAGTTGGTGACAAAGTGTTTGTAAGTCATTTTAAAGACATTTATCAAGAGTTTTGTCACCAATTAAGCGACACAACTGCTACTAAAATCTGCTTCGGTGTTATTTCAGGGCAGTTTTGCAGAGACCCTAGGGTTCCTGCTGGAGGCGCTAAAGAAAGGTGAGAGAATTGGGTGTGTAAAAGGTAATCTTTTTAATTTGAGGCCATATTTGAGAGCTGTTTTTTTTTTTTTTTTTCTCATCAGGTGATCGCAGCAGCAGCCGCCCTGTTTTGTTCGTCCTCGATGAGTTCGACCTGTTCGCCCACCACAAGAACCAAACGCTTCTCTACAACCTGTTTGATGTCTCCCAGTCAGCCCAGGCTCCCATCGCTGTGGTGGGCGTCACCTGCAGACTGGTGCGCCTCAATCAATGCAAACCCTTCCTGATGAACTTCTCTTGTTCTGTTGTATGAAATCTATTTGTGGTTTGTTTTCCATCTAGGATGTTCTGGAGCTGTTGGAGAAGAGAGTGAAGTCCCGGTTCTCGCATCGTCAGATCCACCTGCTCAGCAGTCTGACGTTTCCTCAGTATGCCGAGCGAGTTCGGACCCAGCTCAGCCTGCCGGACGACTTCCCTGACGACAAGTTCGCTCAGGACTGGAACGCTAGTGTGAAGGTGAAAAGAGGAGAAATGCGAGCATGCAGTGTACCTAAAAGTCCATCTTTGCAGCACCTGTGGTCTGTTTTTATTTCTTAGATTGTGTTTTGGTTTCTCTCCTCAGAATTTGTGTGAAGACAAATCAGTTGAAGAAGTTTTGCAGAGACACTTCAACTCCAGCAAAGACTACCGTATGATGCACATGCTGCTGGTAAAAGTTCAACTTATAGTTTATACAATGACATTCACACTGCTTTGTTAGCATTTTTCAAGGAAACAACCTCATCAATGGGATCAGATTGTGTCCCTAGGAAATGTTCCTCTTTAAAGCTTTTCCTCATCCTTTAACTTTAGCTTCTTTTTTGAACGATAAAGTTTCGGAGCATTAGTTGTTTATTCTATGTTTGTTTTTATTCTTAGATGTTGTGTCTGAGTCGTGTGTCCGTAGCCAAACCCAACATCAAACCTGCAGATGTGCTGGAGGCGAGCAAAATGTGTTTCACTGACGCCAAGGCGAACATGCTGCACGGTGAGGATCACATGACGAGAGAATTGCTTTTGCACTTTCTCTCCAAAACGTTAACATCTGTTAATGTCACTTTGTGTTTTCTCTGCTCACTCCAGGTTTGTCCATC